AATATGACAGTGTTGCTATGTTGCGCATTTCTTCCCATTTATATAAATCTTGATATAAAGCACAAATAAATTTTGGTGTACAGCAGTCAATAGTAAATTCCAAAAGTCTATTAACGTCCAAATTATTCCATCGACTTTTGATGCCCAAAAGTATCCAAACATACCTATAAAATATGACGTTACCTATAAAATATGACTTTACATTACATATTTATAATTCAGCCTAAACGTAGAATATATACCGTATTTTATAACAATGATTGTCGAAGTGATACAGATACGACATGTAAGTTAATTTTTCTGACGACAAAACTGAAGGCGATGCATAAAGTTTAGCTAAAAATATTGTTTTCTGAAGATCATTAAGCTGTGTTATATCCGAGGATAAAGCAAGCCGCAACAAGTTTTCTGACTTTTCATCCCAGTTAATAAATTTGTCTACTAAGTCAAAACATTTTTTTTCAAATTCAATGTTATATGTCTTATTGAGTATATCTTGAAGTATAGATATCTTCGAGAACCACATGTCCCAGTCAATATTATTCAACAGCTAAAAACAATAGGTAGTAGAAAGATAATTTTTTGTAATGCTATAAATAATACTGGCGAAATTCTAATTTATTTGTGTAAAATATACATTACCTCGGTTTTATCAGAGAAATATTCATATAGATACTTTTTCCAATCATCAGTCTTTATACTCTTGAACGTAAACTTATCTAAATAAGATTTAAGAAATGGCTCGAATATTTCTGATCCTCCTAATACAGATTGTATATGTTCTAGGAGTGCATATCCTATTTCATAAAACACATATTTAGTTTCATTTTCAGGAAGCATATCTGTCAATGTAGGTACCAGATTCTTTACTCGTTCCATGCTTCTTAACATTGAAATCTATAACAGTAATAAAATTTCTAAAAATAATCCAGAGAACATGCAAAAGTGTTATATATATATGACATATAAATTAATATTTAGTAGTATATATATTTATATACTATATTTATTTTAGCATTTTTCTAATTAAAAATAACAGTTTACTTTTCTTTTTATCTTATGCCGACTTTTCATCTCTAGAAACAGCTTCATTTCTTCGCCAAGGAGAATGCATACAATTTTTCTATAAATAAATATAGCGAAACTTTCATTCAACCACATATGTTCATAATTTGCACACGTAACTAAAAGTCCCGCCCAACTCTGAGAAATGTTCCGAGCGATTGGACTAATTATAGAAAGATCCCCACTAAGTAAAAATGGAGATACAAATGCCACACAAGGACATTCTATTTGGAATTCCCCGATGCATGGTGGTAGCACGCATATATCAAATCTACCTGCAAATATTATTTTAATTATATAATATTTAATATATAATTACATAATATCAATGATATAACAATGATATAACAATGAAAGAAAAATGAAAATTATAATATATAACCCTTTAAGCAAATTTTTTTTTATATCTTACCCCAGCGATAAGGACCACACAATTGTTTGGCAACCTGTATCATGCGTTCGACTTTGTAAAACGATTTTCCAATTTCTTGTATATACTTAGGTTCGGTAAAAACAGCAATATCTTCGCTAATATGTATTATTTTTAATGAACCTACCGCAATAGCTACCGCGTAAGAGGGTACTTGTATTGTTTGAAAATATTCGAATAGATTTTCTCTGGTTGAATAAGACAATATATTTTCTAAAAGCGCAGACATTAAAACCACGAAACCCGATGGTACAAAAATCTGATGAATACAAATTCACATCAATAATTAAATAATTTCTGTTTTACAGTAATATATAAAAAATATAAACATATATATATTAACATACATATATTTTCTCATAAGTAATGCTTATGAGAATGCTTTTACTTTTTACTTATGTTGTATAATTATTGTTAAAAATATCATCGATCGGATACCCTTTTATTTAAGTAAAATATATATAAATATATATATATATATATATATATATATATATATATATATAATAT